ATCAGGCATCTGCGCACTACTGCACTCAGGCAGTTAAAACGAGTTCCCCAGATATGTTTGATTTGACTTGAAAATTTTTCTCACATGTAGCGCTTTTTCCTTCCACCCACTTCTCAACCACTGCTGGCTAAGCCGCCATATCGACTTTTGATATGATTTTCATGTAAACAAAAGCGCTAATGAAACCGTTTCTGAAAGACTTCCAGAACAGTGCTCATTGCTTAAAAATCCATCCGGCCAACCATTAGTAAGGAGCACCAACAAAGAATGTAGTCGATTTGTCATCGTCCAGGCTAACTTGTCAATGTGCAGAAGCAGAGTAAAATCAGATAAATTTTTTCCGATGCAATATTTATGAAGCACTAAGAGGAACCACAAAAGACAAAGATCTCATGTTGGACTCGGAAATGCGCAGTGACGGTTCCGTGTATCTCATGCAGTCCAGTTGGCCTGGAGCAAATGTGCCACATGTCACCGTAAACTAAAGCGCCGCTAAATACTTTAAAAGGAAGTAGGGAAGTCAATTCTTGAGTCGTTAAAATGAAAATCTGCCATTTCCACAGCCTTAGTGTTTGCTCAATTGTTGCATATAACTCGCGCAAACAAAGCGCGTTATACAGTTCACAAAAAATTACGACAAGTGGAGAATGAAAAGACATGAAGCAACAATAGAAGTTGTATGCAGAGAAAGAAATTGATAACATTCTGCGGAGTGTTCTTAAAAAATAAAATGTGGAATAATCGGAGATGCCTAAGTTACTTTAATACAAAGTCACGATAAAATGCTGCATCGGCAAAAATTGGCACCACTCTGCGCGATCGCTTCAGAACAGTAGCGCCAAATGAAACCGTTCTGCACCACAAATCCTATGAAGCACTGCACAATGGCAAAAGAAATCCTACATATGCTTGCAAATTATTCAGGAATTCAGAAAAATCCATAACTGCTTGCAAATGCTTACTAACAAAGTTTTACTCAGTTACAAACGTCGGCTTTGAGAACTGCACGCCAGCGAGGCAAAAAAATTGGCCGAATT